GAAGGCTGGAAATGGGCCCGTTTCCAGCTTCCAGAGAGCCTCCGGAGTCCGGGGAGGCCATTTCCGCCCTCCTGGAGGCTCAAGGAAAGCCTCTAGAGCCCGGGAATGGCAAAAATGCCCCCCTCCCCGTGGTGCAGGAGGCCGATTAGGCCACGCCCACCATGGGCACTCCCACCCAGCAACCGGGCAGAGAAACGCTTTGCTAAAAGTTTTGAAGTCCATCCCTGTAAACAAAAGAACACGGACATCCCCTAAACTCCGCTGAAGAGGTTACCTTAGCTTGGTAACGAAATGTCCGGGAAACCAACCCACAAGCTTGGAGAACAAATCTTTCCCCTCACTTATTACCATATAAATATTACTTTTACGAAGTGTACTAGCTGAGTGTGAGGCCATTAGCGCATACCGGGTCTCATTATTGGTCCCGAGACTCGGGAGGTTGAAGATTATGAGCCCAGACTACTGGTTGAAAAAGTAAATAATATGATAGTTTAAAAAAAAAAAAAGAGTCAATGGAGCAGTTCAATGGACTTCCGGCAAGCCAAAGGCCTCTTTGCAATCTAGCAACCCTTCTGTTTTCCCAAGTCATAAGGGACAGTTACTCGGCTGGAATAGGAATCGGATTTAGGTGTCAGGTTAGCGTCCGTCAGCCTGACTTCATCTGCATTTCTTCTCTTAAAAAGAGTAAGAGGAATAAGTGTCTACTCATTTGATAGGGGGCTACAGCGATGCCCTGAAATTGCTTTCTCTCCATCTTAATCTCTTCTGGAGGAGGAGGAGGAGGAGGAGGAGAGGGGGGAGTTAGTTATAGAAAGGTCAAACACATAACTTTGCAGCTCACTGCCATCTCTATCCTTTTCTTTTGCAATTCTTCTCTCTGATTAAACTCCCAGATAAATCTAGGCACTGTTGCCCGGCCCTTCACATTGAATGACTTTATGCATCACTTCCTTGTGGCAGGAGGATTCAGCACCGTGCCACTTTCAGCGCAACCAGAAACCTCGCCTTTCAGCCGCTGACATCCCCCCCAGCCTTTCTGTCCAATTGCTGGGGAAGGACAAAGAAGAGACAAGCATGTGGAAAACAAGGGACTGGGGAGGGAGACCACACACTGTTAACTATAAAAAGCTGGTGGGGGGAGGTTTACATGAGGTTGAAGCAGGCCAGCCAACATTTTCAAACCGTTGTCTGTTTGTTTCCAAGGGCTATATATTGTAGGAAGTTAGCACTCACCGCTCTCCTAGAAAATTGAAATATCCTAGGAAATATTAAAAAGGAAGAATATTTCCCCTAAAAAGAGTAAAGTAGAAACTCAGAGAGGCAGAAACTCAGCCCCCCCACACCTTTGCTAATGGGAGGTCCATTAAAGCCTAGGCCGGAGTATTCTACATAATAAAGGCCTCTACCCAACTCACTACCTGGCCTGGGAAGATTGGATCAGCCAACACTCAGGTGAAGCCATGTGGTCCAGACAAAGCCTACAAAGTTAGTTAAGACCCCCGCCTCCTGGGAGTCTGACAGCCAATGGGATACATTTCTTGCACAGGAACAGGAAACATTAAGATAAGGCCCAACAGAGGGTATGAAACTAAGGGTCTCTCAGCATCTTGCCCCTTCTTTTCCTTCACCCAACATCTTAAAACATGTGATCGTCCTTTTCACTTTGGAGCGCCAAGCCATGTGGTCCTCCTGTCCATCTTTCCAAACAGCCTCCATGTTTCCAGTGTCTTTTTCCCCACTTGGAACTGAACCCAGAAGGATAATTCTCCCAACAATATGACATTCACGTCATCTTCCTTTTGGGTAAGTTGAAGGCTACTCCATGTCAGTAGAACAGGGTCAACTGAGAATGTGGAGATTTTAATACAAGTAGTCCTTGACTTACAACCACAATTGAGCCCCAAATTTCTGTTGCGAAGCGAGACAGATGTGAAGTGAGTTTTGTCTCGTTTTAGGGCCTTTCTTGCCACCGTTGTTTAAGCGATATCCATGCACTTGTTAAGTGAGTGACACGGTTGCTAAGTGAATCTGGCGTCCCTATTGCCTTTGCTTGTCAGAAGGTCGCAAAAGGGGATTCCATGACCCCAGGACACTGCAACTGTCATAAATATGAGTCATTTGCTAAGCGTCTAAATTTTGATGGTGTGACCATGGGCATGCTGCAGCGGTCGTAAGTGTGAAAAGTGGTCATAAGTCACTTTTTTCAGCTTTGAACGGTCACTAACAAGGATTGTAAGTCAAGGATTGCCTGTACACAATTTGGTCTTGTCCCATGAAAGGAGAATTGGAATAAAGAAGCAGAGGACAGAGAAAGGGAATAAGAAATTAAAAAGGGGAAAAAATGGGTAGGTGACCTTTTGGAGAACTTTCGTAGAACCTCCAAGCTTGAAGTTACTTTGACCTGCCTGCCTTCCCAAAGCTCTCTATTTCCTCCTGTCCTGTCCTTTACGGCTGCTCTACCTATCTCCTACCTTGTCATTATCTCATCTCATTCCGCTTCTGCTCTACCACCTTTTGTGTCTACCACCCTTTGGAAATACTTAAGTCCATTCCAGAGACAAGAAATAAATTGTATACCCAGGTGATTTTCAGAAGAAATAGCAGCATGTTTCAATTTAGCTTGTTTTTTCCTAAACCAGAGGTGGTATTCAGCAGGTTCTGACCAGTTCTGGAGAACCAGTAGCGAAATTTTGAGTAGTTTGGAGAACCGGCAAATGCCACCTCTGACTGGCCCCGCCCCTATTTCTTCTCTGCCCCCAAGTCCCAGTTGATTGGCTGGGTCTTCTTCGGTTGCCCTGCACAGGAGAACGGAACTGGAAAGCAGGTTAGTGGGGTGGGGTGAGAATGGAGATTTTGCAATATCCTTCCCTTGCCATGCCCACCAAGCCATGCCCACCAAGCTGCACCACGCCCACCAAGCCACGCCCACAGATCCGGTAATAAAAAAAAAAATTGAATTCCATCACTGTCCTAAACGTATTTCCTCTAGAGTTAAAGTCCAACCGATACTTGATGGAGTTGTCATTCAAGGAAGGATGGCAGCCTTAGATATATGTCCACTTCTTTCCAGGGAATCTGAGGATCAAGAAATTAGGGTAAAGAAGATGAAGTACTATAAAAAAAATTTATTTAATTTGATTGGAATTGTCTGGAATAAATATAGAAATTTTGGAAGTATATTCATCTTAATCAAGGCAATCCTGCCCAGTAAAGAAAGCTGTAATTTACTCCAGGAATCTAAATCTTTCTTAGATTGTTGGAGTAGTTTGTCATAATTGTTTTCTTTTAGTGATTTGCTTTGTGGAGTTAGCCAAATTCCTAGATATTTAATTTTTTTTGTCACCTGTATTCCCATTGATGTCTCTAACTCTTTATTCTGGTCTCCTGTTAAGTTTTTAGTCATTAGTTTCATTTTTTTCCTATTAATTTTGAGTCCTGCAACTTCTCCAAATTGTTCTAATTCTTCTAATAAGTTATGTCCTTTTTCTATAGGCTCCTCCAAAAAGAAAACCATAGCATCAGCAAAAGCTTGTACTTTATACTCTTCTGATTTAATCCTCAGTCAGTGTGAAAAGTGGTCATAAGTCACTTTTTTCAGCTTTGAACAGTCACTAACAAGGATTGTAAGTCTAGTTTAGTTTATAACTAAACTGTAAATTGTAAGTACTAGTTTAGTTTATAAGCAACAAATGTCAAAAGAACAAAAAAAGGCTACAAGAGTGTGCCTCTGCCCGTTTTGCTACACAGAGACGCAACATTTGTATATATCTGAGAAAGGGTAAAAACAAGTTAAATGAAAGTTAAATGCAGAGGAGTTGGAGTACTTAAATGTTCTATGTGATAAAACAAGAAAAGATAAAGTCAAGAATAAATGATTACTGAATTAATTTGTTTTGAACTGTGTGACTTGTATGGAGTTATGTTGAGGTCATAAGAAGAGAATGAAAAGGTAAAAGTTTCCCCTGTTCAGGCATGTTCAACTTAGGGGGTAGTACTCATCTAATTTGGGTCGGTCACTGGGACTATAGATTTACTCTTCCGAGCTTTTAGAATCATGCTGGAGCCCATCTTCAGGGAACTTCTCTACTGAAATACGTCCTTTGGGCTGTTCTGTGAGACGTGTATGTGGTGCCTCCCTGTTGGCTGATTGGTGTATTGACGGCAGGTGATTGTTGTTTCGTTGTGTTGCCAAGCCCTCGGCTCCTAAGTACCTGACAAGCTGGTGGTAAATCAGCACTCCTGTTGACTGACAAGAGACCGTTTCCCAGGCTTCAATCATTTCCCTGGCTATTTTTGTACCTACACAGCCAACAATCTTAATAGCTGCAAAATTGAATGCATGTCCTTATTCATTGCAATGTGAGGCCACAATGAGTTTGGGTGTTCTTGCAATCTGGTGGTTAGCTCCCCCCCATTTGTCCTACCAGGGACAAACCATACAGGGAATCTGGTAAATTATATTGGAAATATCTCCTACCTCCAAGCGATTATCCTGGAAGACATATATTTGCCTTCATTAGTGGTACTCATCTCTGTTTCTTAGCTGAGAGAGCCAGCATTGTCCAAAGACCCTTCTGTGGTCATGTGGCCTATGTAACTATATGTCAAGGCGCACAGAACAATGTTACTTTCCCACCGAAGTGGTACCTATTTATCTACTCACATTTGCATGCTTTAGAACCACTAGGTGGGCAGAAGCTGAGGCAAGAACAGGAGCTCGTCCCATCATGCAGTACTTGGGTCTCGAATTGCTGACCTTCGGATCGACATGCCCAGTGTCTCAACTGCTAGAATGAACGAAAATCAAATTGTAAAACACAACTATGAAGGTAGTATGAATGGGATGGGAGGAAGGGGAAGACTGATTGCCTGCCTGGCTGGAATGTCATGAACAGAAAAAAGTTTAAAGAATTAAGGCAAAGTATAAATGGTCGTATGGGCCTGGTAGAACAAGGATATTTTCCAAGGATAAAAGAAGTATGTGTGAAGACCATTTTCACTGGCAGAGGCACTGCGGGCCGGTCCTTCAGTGTTTCCAGAGCAGCCCCGCAAACCAGATCTAAGCACCTCATGGGCTGGGCCCCCGGGCCATGAGTTTGATACCCCAGCGTTAAATGGAGATGCTTGCAATGTTCTAATGCATATATATAAAGACAATTGCAGTTGGGTGCAGAAATGGGACAGAACAGACTTACAAGTGAACAAACAGCTAAGTAACATCAGCCATAAACAGGCCGATCTGTTCATAATTAGGCAACATTTCAAATTGAAGGGTGAAAACCATCTTTGCAATGAAAACATCATCCATATTTTTCTGTGGTTTTCACTAGGAACAACAGATTTGATGGTAGAGTAAGGAGAAAAAGATAACTTACCCAGGTAATCCTAAGAAGATTCATGTGAAATAGTGAGATAGTGATTCATGAAATAGTGGGATTGAATGTCAATTTCTGAAACATGTTTAATAGGAATACATCATGCTCTCTATCAGTTAAGCTATTACTCTTGGGAGATTTCAAACATAACTTTTTAAACTTTTGCTTGGAGTGTAAAACACTACCAAGAAGATGCAACACTATTTTATTTATTAGATTTTTATCCTGCCTTTATTATTTTTGTAAGTAACTTAAAGACAGCCAACTTGTCTAACCTACTCCTTCTTCCATCTGTTTTCCCCACAGCAACAACCTTGTGAAGTGGTTTGAGCTGAGAGAAAGTGACTGGCTCAATGTTGCCCAGCTGGCTTTCATGCCTAAGGCAGAATTAAAACTCACAGTCTCCTAGTTTATAGGCCAGCACTTTAACCACTGCACCAAACTGATTCTTGTTTTAGGAGCATTTCCTCATTCCTTCCCACAGGTCTGGATGTTTCATCTGAAAAAAATCTGTAGTGATGTTCCCCTGAGCTGTTCTTTTAAGAAAGAGCCTACCACCTGTCATCAGATTGTCCCAAAGGTGCTTTTTCAAGAGGCAACTGGACTTTCCAGTTTTACTTTAAAGATCTTTTGCTTCTTATCCAAAAAGTTTCTTCAGCGAAACGAAAAAAGAAGAAAGTCCAGTTGCCTCTTGAAAAAGCACCTTTGGGACAACCATGACCTGGATGACCGAGAATGGACTTTTAGGCAATTAGTAGAACCAAGAAACTTTGTCCCCCAACCCCCTGCAAAACTTGTGGTTATTTATCCTGTCTTCTTCTGTTGCATTTCTTTTTTTATTGCTTGGTCAGCCTATTTTGTGATTTAGACACATGATACTCAAGATCAACTTATCCCTCTCTTAGATATTTTATTTACCT